AAAAAAAAAAAAAAAAAAAAAAAAAACTGGATGGCGACCCCACTCCTGCCCAGTGATCTAACCAGGAAGCCCAGATAAGCTGGGCACCATGTCCTCCCACCAAGGCCACCCTACAAGCAGCTGCCCCACATGGCACAGTGGCAGTGATGGGTTCAAACTCCACACTCCCCTGTGCTCTTGACCAGAAACTACTCCAGGCAGAGGACAGGAGAATCTCCAAGCCCTAGCTCGGGAATTTCCCTGTAATGCCCCCTTTTCTCCCCTCCTCCCTGCTGCCCAGGTCATTCTCACCCATGAGGCCACAGAAGCGGTCGAAGGTCCTGGGGATGCGGGTCTGGGGGTTCACTTCAATCAGCACGTTCTTCTGTGTGTGGATGTACACCTGCAGCAGGCCAGCGCGGTTCAGTGGGCTGTCCATCAGCATCAGCAGGCTCTGAACAGTGGGCCAGGCAGTGAGGGCGCAGCGGCAGCACCACGCTGCCCCTCGGTCGGGAGCCCCGCGCCCCCTTACCTGATGGGCTATGTCTGGTCTCACTTCCCCAGGGTCCCGCCCGTTCTTCAGCAACACAGACTTGTGCTTGTCACAGTTGAGCAATTCATATGTCTTCCCTACCTGAAGCACAGAACAGTGTGAGGAGAGCGCATGAGCTCCCTCTGCAGCCCAGCCAGCTGCACTGTGGCCCTGAACAGCACAGCAGCTGGAAAGCTGTGCATTTCTCACAGAACAAACAATACATAGGTACTGGAGAAAATGTACAGAATCCCTCCCTGCCTGAGTCTGCTTAAAACAAACATCCACTAAATGAAGAACTGTAAATCTAAGCAAGAATGTGATGGTTCTCATGATGCAGAAGTAATTCAATAAAGGAACACCTCCAAGAAAAAAATCGGGTTGCTTCCACCTCTTAAGACACGTGTGAGTAAAGATACAAGAAAAAGCAGAAACGGGAGAGGAAGTTTTGTTAGACAGTGGAACCAGGGTCCTGAAGAGTAGGAGTTACACAGGAAACTGCTTTGTAAGCTACAGAACCAGAAATAATTCTAGAATTAAAGGGGCGTGATGGAAATGACAGAAACATAATGGTAACTTCATGCTAGGAAAGAAACCAGAAGTGTGATAACAGCTGACTATACCTAGAGCAGCTCTAAATATGACAAATTCCAAATTCAAGTCTTAAGGATGGTCAGCAGAGCTAGGTGTGGTGCCGCACACCTGTGATCCCAGCACTTAGGAGGCTGAGGCAGAAGGATCGCCTCACAATGGAGACCAGCCTGGGCTAAATAGTTCAGGGCCAGCCTGAACTACTTTGCAAGAGCCTGTCTTGGGGAAAATTAAGAGATGTTGAGTAAAAAGTCTAAAAACGTACCATCAGATACAAATATAGGTTGTAAGAGTTTGTTTTATGTATCACTGGAGTATCTGTATGTATCTTGTAATACCTTATACATGGCTCCAAAAAGGTGGAGGGAAAAGAAATGTAAATTTTGAAACTGAGCAGTTGAAGTAAAAAATGTCACAAATCACACAATCCCACATAAAGGACCAAGGACTAAATCCATGGGGCACCCTTTTATAAAAGGAAAACACTCCATTGTGCCCAGCACTGGGGATCAAATATGCCACAGCCTCTCGTTCGCCTCTGAGCTGCATTCCAGCCCTGTTCTAAATTTTATTTTGAGACACGGTCTCACTAAACTGCTCAGGCTGACCTCAAACTTTCACTCCTTCCTCAGTTTCCCAGGTAGCTTCGGTTATAGGCATGCACCACCACTGAAAAGGAGCCTTTCACAGCATAGCCAGTTTCCACCCATTCCTAGCACATAAGCAGGGCTTTTGTTCTTGTAATAGAAGACATCAAAGTATTTCACATCCAGCGCTGATAATAATAGTTTATGAAACCTGGTATCATATACTTGAATGTGTATTTGCTCACATGTAGCATTTCATGGGTTAATAAGCTTGAAAACCACTAAGTAATCAATAACTACAGTCAATGACTATAAAAGGTACTGGAGACAAAAACTTTGAGACCTCATTCTCAGCCCCCACAGAGACATAAACAATCGATACTATGAACTAACAAACACTGATGAGAGTGAGTAGCTTGGTAAAGGGCTGTAACAGGAGAGTTACACCAGCAAGTCATCCAGTTGCCCTCCCCACTCACTCCTCTCAGACCCTCGGCCAGGTCATCGTTCAATACATCCACCTTTTTATTTTTATGAACAACATAAAACCAACAACTCCCTGGTTTAATGAGTGTCATCATAAAAACTCAGTTGTAAAATGAATAAACAGATAACAGACACAGGTGAGTTACAGGGCTTGCTGTGAAAGAATATATTCAATGGCCTTTTTAGTATACATGCTGCTGAAAGGATTTGTTTTTTTTTTTTTTGGTACCAGGGGTTGAACTCAGCACCTTGTGCTTTCAAGGCAGGTATGGTGCCACTAAGCTACATCCCCAGCTCAATGTCCTTAGGATATAAGAGAACTTAGTGCTTTCAAAAACCTTAAAGAAGGGCCAGGGATTTAGCTCAGTGGCAGTGCACCTGCCTTGCAAGCTCGAGATTGAACACAGGGCCTTCACACGGAGCTACATCCCCTTTATTTATTGAGAAAGGGTCTTGCTGGGTCACTAAGTGTGTACCACCATTCCTAGTCCCTTTCAACTTTTTAATAAGTACACATTAACTTATTCCAACTGCCAGGCATTACTCCAACAACTGTATACAAATTAACTTCTTTAATCCCTCCCAACATTATTATCTCCTAAAGTAACTAAAGTGATTTGCCTAAGGTCACACAACTAGTAGGTAGATTTCAAGCAACCTAAGGCAAGCCTACATTCTCAAACAGGCTGCTGACACAGACAAGCTTTCCCATTTGCAAGTTACATAGTTACATGGGATAAATTGACAACAAATGTCAAAATTAACATGCAGTTAATAGATATGACACGTTTTAATTAGGTTAGAAACACCAATTACAGGAAAAAATGAAGGGGATTCCTGATTGTTAGTTGGTCATTTTGAAAACAGGTTGTTCAGCCTGCAAGCCTGACTCAGTGTCACAGTGGCTGAGGAAGAAGAGATGGGGAGGAATCTCACCTTATATTATTCTGAAAATGTACTACTTTTAAAAGACTTTCATTTGTCCCCTATGTGGTTTACAGTTAAGGTATATCCCTACTTTACAAAATGAGCAATCATTTATTTTCTCAAAAACCACATAATTTAGTGTTAAAAAACAGATTAAAGGACGGGGATTTAGCTCAGTGGTTCAGCTGCCTGCCTCGCAAGTGCAAGGTCCGCCCAAAAAAACTAAAGTTCTGACTTCTAAAGTTCTGGGCCTACTCACTGAACAAATTTGGCCCTAAAGGGTAAGAGACAAAGACACAGCACATGAGGATATAGTATGAGATTTTTGTTTGTTTCTGGCTGGCCTCCAACACTGTGATCCTCCTGCCTTAGCCTCGATTACAGGTCTGTACCACCTCTCCCGGCTATAGTATAAAGTTTAAAGTCAGGGAAAAAAATAAAGTCAGGGAGTTGCTGGCTTTATTACATCCAGAGAAAAAAAAATGATAAGTAAAAAAAAAATGGACGTATTAAATAGTAATGTGATTCAGGGAGTGTTTTTAAGGTAAACAGAAATAGGAGCGACAGTGGCAATCCTTCAACAAAATGAAACGTCAAGTTCTTACCAATAAAAGGCCGGGCAAACTAGGCTACAGTACTGTATGTATGGACTGGAAAGTAGGAGGCCTGATGGTCGAAACTGCCCTGAATTTACATGGTATTGTATCAGGGAGCCCTGGTAACACAACCGAAAGCAAGGCGGTGAGAGCTGGCGTAGGAATCAAGAAAATCAGTTTCGAGCCGGGCGTAGTGGCGCACGCCTATAATCCCAGCACTCGGGAGGCTGTGTCAGGAGGATCGCTGAAAGTTCGAAACCAGTCTGGGCTACATAGTGAGTTCCAGGTCAGTCTCAACTACACAGCGAGACCCTGTCTCAAAAAACAAAAAACAAAAAACAAAAAACAACAAAAAAAAAAATCAGTTCTGCCAACCCAGGACGTCAAGCCGAGTGATAACCAACTACGTGATCCTTCCACCACCTTTCCTTCAAAACACCTTTCACTTCTGCTTTCTCCATCCACTTTCTGCCCCCCCAACCCTCATCCCACGGAATCCCACCCTATCAATCTAACAGTTCCACACTTCCAGCTCCAAACTACCTTCACTGTCTCCAGACTGGCTCCTTCCAGCACCACGATGAGCCTACGGCCTCCGCTCTTGTTTCCAGCCCCGAATCGGGGTCTCTTGGGCGCAGCGGCATCCCAGTCCTGATCCTGCTCACCAAAGCTCCGCTCACGAGGTTGAAATCCACCACTGGGCGCAGCCATCTTGCCGCCAGGCCGGAAGTCGCGCCAAAGTCCTTAATTATAACCTCGCGCTAGTCCTAATTGCACACTTCCTTCCGGCTGCCATTTTGAAAGTGGGCGCCGGGAAAAAGGGATAGTTCGTAGTTTCGCACTACCGAAGCCTCCCAGAAAGGGCAGGGTTCCAAAATGGGGCGGGACTTCCGGATGCGTGTTCCTGTGCTCGGGGCTCGGGTCTGTCGCAGGCCCGAAGGGAGGGTTTAGACGGACGCGCGCTTCCGGTGCCCTTTCTCCCTGGAGCGCTGAGCCTTGAACCCTCGTGTGCAGTTGTGGACTCTAGGCTGGAGTGGGGTACAAGCGGGCGGGCACCACCTCCTCACCTTTGGTGCCGCCGCCCTCGGGGTCAGACATGGCCCAGAACCTGAAGGACTTAGCGGGACGCCTGCCCGCCGGGCCCCGGGGCATGGGCACGGCGCTGAAGCTGC